GCTGGTAAACAGCTGCCCTGGACACAGATTTGACCTGTGCCTCCATGGACAGATGTGAGTCCAAAATGACTCCCAGGCTGCGCACCTGGTCCTTCAGGGGCACAGTTACCCCATTCAGGACCAGGGAGTCCTCCACACCCGCCCGCCCCCTGTCCCCCCAAAACAGAACTTCTGTCTTGTCAGGATTCAACCTCAATCTGTTGGCCGCCACCCATCCTCCAACCACCTCCAGACATGACTGGCAGAGGCTGTCTGGGGTTTCAGGCAGGGGACGTTCCCATCCTGCCTGGAGAAGATGCTGCCACTGGGGACTGAAGCTGGGTGCTCTGCCAATGAGCCCCCATTCTGATGAATGCAGGGTGGGCCTTGCAGACTTCTAAACCTTCCTGTGGGGGGTCACACCAACAGGCCTTTCCACATCTCTTGGGGAAACGAAAGAGGAGCCTAGAAGCCCCTGACCCTTAAGATATTATGAAGACACAAGGGACACACACAGACCAGAAGAGGTTGTGCGCTGCAGTTTGCTAACCAAATGGACAACGTTCCTGCAGTGAGGTGTGCAGGGCTAAAGCAGGCTCAACTTCCTTTGGCTACTTGAGCTCCAAAAGCATCTCCTAGTCCAGGGGTTCTCCCCCTGTGGGTCCCCAGATGTTCTTGGACTACAAGTCCCATCATCCCTGAGCTCTGGCCTTGCTAGCTAGGGGTGATGGGAGTTGTAGTTCAACATCTCGGGACCCACAGGTGGAGAAAGGCTGTCCCAGACTATGCTGGGACTCATGTGCCTCTCAACAGCTTCAACATTTGGCACCAGGCACAGAACTCTGCATTATTTTTCCTAAGATGAAATTGCTGCGTAGAATTTCTATCAGCCTTGGGGCAGAGCTGCGCGAGTGAAGCAAACCTGCACAAAGTATTTGGGTCACGAGAACGTCTTCCTTTGAGCTGCGCCGGGTCTTTGAGCAGCTCCCCAAAGGGATGTCAGAGCCGCCTGCTCCTGTCTCCCACGATCCGTTTTGCACATCAAACGCCCCTTCGGATCAAGGCGGCTCCTCAGGTGGAAGAGGGAGCAGAACGGATCTCCCTTGCAAGACACAGGTGCTCCCAATACAGAGGGCCTTCTCGGTGGTGGCGCCCGTCCTGTGGAATGCCCTCCCATCAGTTGTCAAGGAAATAAACAACTATCTGACTTTTAGAAGACATCTGAAGGCAGCCCTGTTTAGGGAAGTCTTTAAGGTTTGATGTTTTATCATGTTTTTAGTACAGTGGTACCTCGGGTTACATACACTTCAGGTTACAGATGCTTCAGGTTACAGACTCCGCTAACCCAGAAATAGTGCTGCAATTTAAGAACTTTGCTTCAGGATGAGAACAGATATTGTGCTCCAGCAGCAGCGGGAGGCCCCATTAGCTAAAGTGGTGCTTCAGGTTAAGAACAGTTTCAGGTTAAGAACGGACCTCCAGAACGAATTAAGTTCTTAACCCGAGGTACCACTGTATTATGTTGGGAGCTGCCCAGAGTGGCTGGGGAAACCCTGCCAGATGGGTGGGCAATGAATTATTTTTTATTACTATTATTATTATTATTATTATTATTATTATTATTATTATTATTATTATTATTATTATTAGACAGCTGACAGGCAAGCAAGAGGAAGCTCCTTCACCTCCGAAAACTCAGCTGGTCACCAGCAAAGGCTATTTCAACAGGCCCCATTGCAGGAAGGCTACAGGCGGGCGATGGGTGCCCCGGAGTGGGGAAGGGCCACAGCCTCAGGGGCAGCAAGCAGAGGGTCCCTCTCCCATCCCCACTGGCAGCATCTCCAGGCAGGGCTGGGAAAGGAGCCTGCCTGAAACCCTGGAGAGCCGCTGCTGCCAGTCAGAGCAGGCAGCCCTGAGCTAGATGGAGCCAGGGGCCTGAGTCAGGAGAAGGTCGCTCCCGATGGTCCTGTCTGGGCCCCGCAGGCAGCGCCAGCCTGGCCCTTTCTCAGGCTACCTCAAAGGCCACTTCCACACCAGGGATGGAAAGGAGCTAATCGCCAAGGGCACATTAAGCATAGGTTATCATTGGAATAAACATTCACACATTTATTAGTTGAACGTATGATAGACAAAGCAAGGATATGTACAATTTTATAACATGCAGAAAACAAGATAGGTAAAAAAATCAGGGATGGGGAGGTGAGGGAAGTCTTTGGGGGGAGAGGGAGGGTTGAGGGAGAGGAATAAAGGGGGAGGAAATAATGTAATTGATTACAAGGATTGACAAATTGTTATGTTGAAATTGGTTAATAAAAATATTTTTTTAAAAACAAAATAGGTTATCATTGTTGCAACAACGGAATGTCTAGGCACTGTTTTCCCCTGAGAAATTGGGAGTTGGGGTTGTTATTAATTTCATTTCTATGCTGCTTTATATGTTAAAGGGAAAAATATCTCCAACATGAAACTCAGATATAGAAGCCAATCGCCAAATGGCACCATAAAACGAAGTTACGGTTGCCACAACAGCAAGTCTAGAGTCCATTCCCTCCCCCCCCCAGCAGATCCCTTGCAAGGTTCCTGGCATGGGGAGCGCATCAGGAGCCCCACTTGGCTGACACGCTGAGCCCCCTAAGCTCAGGCCTCAATGCCCCCCTTTCCCCCAGAAAAGCTGGATTCTCCCCTAAGGACTGGATCCCACTTGCTCTCGGCTTCACAGTCAACCAAAAGTCCCCTAGGCCTCCCAGCAGGAAGAGGGGGCTGGAGGGGGAGGCTGAGCTTTGCCCCACCAGGACAGGGGGAGAAATGCTCACCGCCTGCCTTTCGAAGGCTGCAGGAAGCCCTTCTCATCCCAGGAAATTGGGACTGTCTGCCCCTTTGGCGCTGCTTTGGTCTGTTGCATAGTTAGAGCACACAGTTCGACTATGGAACTCCCTCCCACAAGAAGCAGGGATGGCCTGGGTGGCTTTAAGAGGACTGGCCAAATTCCTGGAGCAGGAGAGGGCTATGGCTGGCTCCTAGCCAGAACAGCTGTGCCTGGCCTCCACAGTCAGAGACAGCCAGGCTTCTGGATCCCCGTTTCTGGAAACCCCAGGAGGACGGGATTGTCGCTCTTGTGTTCAAATCCTGCTTGCAGGTTTCCCATTGGGGCAGGCACCCCCCACCCTTCGGCCCTCCAGATGTTTTGGCCTACAACTCCCATGATCCCAATTAATAGGACCAGTGGTCAGGGGTGATGGGAATTGTAGTCCCAAACATCTGGAGGGCTGAAGTTGGGGGCACCAACTTTTGGGGCATCTGGAGAGAACAGGGAGCTGGGCTGGCCGGGCCAAAGGCTCTTCTGCGGGTGTTGTGTTCTCATGATGTTAACGCCATGTTCCTTCATCCCTCTGAAGACCTGAAGAACCACAAGTGGGGACAGGGCTGCTGCGCTTGCCAGGGAGAGAACAAAAACTGGGCGAGCTGGACCACCGGCCGAACCAGCACTTGGCCTCCTGAAATGCAGGAAAAAGTTCAGTCCCGTTCTCAGCGCCCCTTGGGAAAACATCGGACAAGGCCAATGGCCCCTCTGGTCCAGCATCCTGTTCTCCCTGGGACCACCCAGGCGCCGGCAAGAATAATAATAATAATTTATTATTTATACCTTGCCCATCTGGCTGGGCTTCCCCAGCCACTCTGGGCGGCTTCCAACAAAATATTAAAATACTGTAATGCATCAAACATTAAAAGCTTCCCTAAACAGGGCTGCCGTCAGTTCTCTTTTAAAAGTAAAATAGTTGCTTATTGCCTTAACATCTGGTGGGAGGGCGTTCCACAGGGTGGGCGCCACCACTGAGAAGGCCCTCTGCCTGGTTCCCTGTAACCTCACTTCCTCCAGGGAGGGAACCGCCAGAAGGCCCTCGGAGCTGAATGATGGGGGTGGAGACGCTCCTTCAGGTCTACTGGACCGAGGCCGTTCAGGGCTTGAAAGGTCAGCACCAACACTTTGAATTGTGCTCGGATACGTCCTGGGAGCACATGGGCCAAACAGCACTCTGCCCATGCAAATCCCAGCCACCGGTGTTTGGAGGCATCACTGCCTCTGGCTGTGGAGGTTCTACACCTGTGGCTAGTTGTGCTCGCAAGCCCTCTCTCCTCCTCCATTACTTTGTCTAATCTTCTTTTTCACACCTGCCTCCAGTGGGAGGGAGTTCCACAGTTCAACTGAGCACTGCAGGAAGGACATTCTTCTCTCTGTCGGGAATCTTCCAACACTGAACACCCAAAGCTAAGGCGTGCTGAGTGTCTCAGCCAAAACAGCATTTGGGTTGGGTCCAGCCGCCTTGTGCGTCCCAGAGAACCCCTATGGCAGACTGCGCCCCCCCTTATGTGCTTGCAGGGGCTGATGGGAGTTGCAGTCCAAAAGTTGCATCGGGAGGGTCCCAGGTGGGGGGGGGGAGAGAGCAGGCCCTGAGGCTTCGCGGTGCAAGGAGCAATCCTTGCAGGAACCGGACGCAAAGAGCGTGACTCTGCAATTCTCCTCCGCCGGGAAGCGCAAAGGCAGCAATCCGGGCGGACGCCTCTCCCGTTGGGGCAGCTCCTGTCGACTTCGCCCGGCTTGGCCTTGCAGACCTGGGGCGTCCATGCAACGCCTCCCCCCCAGCCTGGCCTTCCCGACCCACTGCAGGAGCTGCCGCCCCCTTTCCTCCGCCCCATTTGCACGCCCGGAGCGCAACCCCGCAGTGCGCTCTGCAGAACGGAAAACTCGACGGCGGCTGCGGAGCGGCGCTCCTGCCTCGCCCTCGCCTCCCGCGGCGCTCTGCCCATGCTCGCGTGCTGCAGGCCCACGGGCAAAACCCCCCAGGGCGTCCGAGGGGCGCTCTGCACGGGCTCAGAGGCACTCTTGCCCGCCCCAAAGAAAAGCACCGCGCCCCACTCCTGGTCCTTGGCGAGCCATTCCCCGGGCGAGAGAGGCGCCCTCTGCGCGGGCTCAGAGACCCCCTGGCCAAGTCGCCTTACCCCCCCCCCCATCCCAGCCCCACTTACTGGTCCGGGTGGGATCCGCCTCGCTGGAGCAGCTGGCGCAGCGGGACGGCGGCGCGCCCGAGGAAGCGGTCGGTGCCGACGAGGGCGCGCTGCCAGACGGTGATCTGCAGCAGGAGCGCCGGGTCGTCGGCGTCGGCGTCGTCGGGGCCGGGCGTGGGTGGCAGCTGGAGCGCGCACTCGTCGGCCCAGCGCGGCCCGCTCCGCTGCGGCGCCACCGGCGTGCGGTACTTCTGGCCGCCCAGCTGCAGAGCCACGAAGGCGTCGCCCGACGGGCCGCCCTTGGCGCGCAGAGCCCGCGCCTGCACCACCGTCACCTGGACGTGGCTGGGCAGCCACGACGGCGGCGAGGACGGCGCCCCATCCGCCGACGACGACACCCGGCTCATCCTCGCCGAAGAAGGCGCGCAAGGTCGGGCCTCTGCGGCGGCGGCGGCTCCGCGTCCCTCCGTCTGTCCGGGCGCCCGGCCGGCCTCCTCGGCTCGCTGCTGGCCAAGACGCGCCCTCCTCTCCTCTCCTCCTCCCTCCTCCTCCCTCCTTCTCCCTTCCCTCTTTCTCTCCTCTCCTCCTTCTCCCCTCCCTCTTTCTCTCCTCTCCTCCTTCTCCCCTCCCTCTTTCCCTCCTTCCTCCGCAGGCTCCTCCTCGCGCCCCGTCGCACGCGCGGACAGCTCGGCAGCTGCAGACGCTGCGCTTGCAAGGCGAGGGGGCTGCTGCTGGCACCGCCTCCTGCTCTTTCTCTCCACCGCCCCCCCTCTCCACCCTCCAGCAGCCCGGGGCAGGATCCAAGCGCCACCCCCGCCGCCCCGGGGGAAATGCAAAGACGGGTTGCCCCCATCGCCTTTGCAACCCTGGCAATGCAACGCGGACCGCCGCTGGTGCGCCTTTGCAGAATCCGGGCTCTGCGCCCCGATGGCGGGCGGCCAGCTCTCCCCCCCCCCCAATCCCGGCGAGGTTGGCCCAGGGCCCGTCTTGGGAGGGGGTGGGGGGTGCAGGAGGGACACGATCCGCAGCCAAGCTCTCCTGGGCAGCCCCGTTGGCACTGCGGAGCGCTCCTTTGGCTCGCCTGGTGAATGGCAGCTTGGGCTAGACTCGGTTTGGCAGGGCACAGACCAAACTGCCTGTGGGATGGCCGCCTCCGGAGGAGCCCTTTCCAGTGACTGCCACAGAGAAGCCCGTTTATTTATTTCTGGGAGTATTTTAATCATAGAACTGGACGGTTCGAAGGGGCCACCCGAGGTTCTCTAGACCAACCCCCTCCAGTGCAGGAATCAGCCCTGTTGAGGGAAGTTTTTAATATTTAACGCTGTATTGTTTTTAACACTTGATTGGGAGCCGCTCAGAGTGGCTGGGGAAACTTAGCCAGATGGACGGGATATAAATAATAAATTATATTATTATTATTATTATAATCACAGCTCAAGCATCTCTCGCAAATGGCTATCCGACCTCTGTGGGAAAACCTCCACCACCTCCCGAGGAAGCCCATTCCACTTTTGAATGGCTGGCGCATGCAGTCAGAAAGTTCTTCCCTTTTCTTGGGACGTGAATCCATTGGTTCGTGTCTTCCCAGCACCAGAAAACAAGTTTGCTCCCTCTTCCCTGTGAACAGCCCTTCAGCTATAACAGAACCATTCACAGAGTTGGAAGGGAACCACCAGGGTCATCTAGTCCACCCCCTGCAAGGCAGGAATCTTTTGCCCAACATGGGGCTTGAAACCACAACCCGCAATTGAAAACCACAATTAAGAGTCTCGTGCTCTGCTGACTGAGCCATCTCCTTGCTCGTATCTCCTCTCAGTCTCCTCCAGGCTCAACATGCCCAGTTCCTTCAACCGTTCCTCATCAGGCTTCGTTTCCAGACCCTCAATCGTCTTGTTGCACACCTTCCAGCTTATCAATAGCTGTTCCTCCTTGCCTTTGGTTGTAAGTTGCTTTGGGCAATATAATAATAATAATAATAATAATAATAATAATAATAATAATAATATAATAACAACCGCAGCCCTAATACTACATGCCACACACCACAGCAGCAAAAATTTGGCCCCTCTTATATGCAGGGTCTCCTGAGTTGAAGCTGAAATTTCCTCTACAGTTACACTATTCCCCTTTTATGCTAGTTCTTGTCCAAGGTGGGGGATTTATTGGAGAAATTGCTTGTGGGGAGATATTTTAATGGTAGATCTGTGACGTGACTCCCCAGCTTATAGCACAGTGCTCCTCTGAAGCAAGAGGGGTCTGAAGACAGTGAACTGAGTTCAGCCCAGAGGAGGATATTTCCGTGGGAAGGCAGTAGCCATTGGGCGATGCTCCCTCGGGTGAGCTTGTTAATGGCAGCAGAGAAATGCTCCAATGCCAGGTCCCAGAAAACACATGCATGTTGCGCTTCTCAAGCGGGGGCTACGCATTCCTGGGTGTGCCACCGTGCAATACAAGCCTTCTCCCTTTTTCGTATTTGCAGAGCCAGCAGCAGACTTACAACTGTTGCTGCAGCTCCTTTAAGAGACCAGCTGACTCTTTGCCTCCAGAGATGTGTGGCAGCCAAATCCTGTTCAAATACATGTTGCCTATATATCAGCATTGCAAGAGAAAAACAGAATGCAGACTCATTCCCTGCGTTGCAGTGGGCGGGAATAGATGAGCCTTGGGGGCCCCTTCCAACCGTACAGTCCTGTGATTCTACGACTGTTAACCACTGATGTGGCAGCCTTGAATTTTCAGGTGCAGTGCATCTATTATTATTATTATTATTATTATTATTATTATTATTATTATTATTTTATTATTATTTCCAAAGGGTAGCTGACACAACACTAATTGTAAATGGATTGTAATTTGGTCTTTTTGTGTTTGTGTGTTTGTTTTGTGTTTCCTTCTTGAATTAGATTATGATTTGATTTGTTATTGATTGGATGCTTTTAATGGGAAATTAATTAAAATTATTATAAAAAAATAAAGGCCCAATTTCTGCATTGTGCAAAGCAGATCTCTGAGAAGACAGTACCTGCAGAAGGCCCTCCTCACCTGCAGAGCGCAGGGACTGACCGGGCAAAGCAGTGGGGACACAACCTTCCAAGTCTCCTGGTCCTGAGCTGCATAGGGCTTTTATGCAGCCAAAATGGCGCCTTGAACTTAGCCCAGGAGCTCATTAGAAGCCTGGGCAACTCTTCCCAGTGGGGAGACGTGTTGGCAATAGTTTGCCCCAGTGCAGGGCCGTCTTAAGCATATCCGGCGCCTTGATGCAAAGATCCCTCTGGCGCCGCCACCCCCATTTCCCAGATTTTTTGACCTTTTTTAGGGCTGAAGGAGGCGGGCAGCAGCTGGAGGGTGACTCCTCCAGTGGGGAAGAGGTGGAGGCTGGACGTGGCACCTCCCAGCTCAGCTGGACGCTTCGTGCCACGGTGGCCACAGCAGGCAGCAGAGCAAGCGGGCCTGTGCCTAGCGAACGAGGGTGCGTCCCTCGCTCAATCAGCGCGCTCATTCAGTGTTCCCCGGACTCTCGCCCGGCGCCCTCCAGAACTTGGCACCGTGGCGCCCCACACCTCTAGCCTCTATGGGTAAGCCGGGCCTGCCCCAGTGAGCAGAAGAGCAGCTGCATTTTGCAACGGCTGCCGCTTCTGGACCGACCCCAAGGGCAGGCCCCCAATCGAGCAATGGCAGCACTCTATCCTGGAAGTGAGAGCTGGACCATAAAGAAGGCTGATCGCCGAAGAATGGATGCTTTTGAATTCTGGTGCTGGAGGAGACTCTTGAGAGTCCCATGGACTGCAAGAAGAGCAAACCTCTCCATTCTGAAGGAAATCAGCCCTGAGTGCTCACTGGAAGGACAGATCCTGAAGCTGAGGCTCCAATACTTTGGCCACCTCATGAGAAGAGAAGACTCCCTGGAAAAGACCCTGATGTTGGGAAAGATGGAGGGCCCAAGGAGAAGGGGACGACAGAGGACGAGATGGTGGGACAGTGTTCTCGAAGCTACAAACATGAGCCTGACCAAACTGCGGGAGGCGGTGGAAGACAGGAGGGCCTGGCGTGCTCTGGTCCAGGGGGTCACGAAGAGGCGGACACGACTAAACGACTCAACAACAACAACATCCTGGAGGTGACTAGCGCCTGGACAACATGCCTGGACAGGACTGGCCTACCATTGATGAAGGAGGGCATCATCCAGGATGGGCTGTGGATCCTTGATGCTGCATCTGAAGAAACCCGTGGCCAGAAGTGAGCTCTCATTTCTCACCCACCCACTCCAGGTCTGTCTTGTGATGCCTGCCTGGCTTAGCTGCTCTCCCTCCCTCACACAAAACACTTCGCTTTGTTGCAGCTGCAGAAATGCCTGGTGCAAATTCTGGAGCCGTGAGTCTTGGTCCAAGGAGTCTGGCTCCAGCCAAGGACAAATGTAGATAAGCTGGGTGGGAGAAGGAGGGATACATTTGCCCCTGGATGCCCCTGCCAAGCTCCGAAGCCCTGGGGCCAATAACACACCCACCCCCCGCCTCTCCCACAGAGAGCCCCCTCCCTCCGGGCCAGCTGAAAGCAATTTGGGCAAATCCCACACAGGATCATCTCTGCAGCAGCTGCATCTCTCTGGCAAGGACACGTCCAGCTCCCCTGCGTCAGCTGAGGGGCACCTGCCACAGGGATCGGATGTCCGCGGCCTCCGCCTCTTCCTCCTCCAAACAGCCAGCGGGTTCAGGAGAACAGGAGGCATTTTGAGTCACCCACAAGCGCTTTGGGGCCTGCTCACCATCAAGGGTCAAAGAGCCAGTGTGGTGTAGTGGTTAAGAGCGGTGGACTCGTAATCTGGTGAACCGGGTTCGCTTCCCCGCTCCTCCACATGCAGCTGCTGGGTGACCTTGGGCTAGTCACACTTCTATGAAGTCTCTCAGCCCCACTCACCTCACAGAGTGTTTGTTGTGGGGCAGGAAGGGGAAGGAGATTGTGAGCTACTCGGAGACTCCTTCAGGGAGTGATAAAGCGGGATATCAAATCCAAACTCCTCCTCCTCCTCCTCTTCTTCTTCTGCATCCTTTGTTCTCTAATACGGGCAGACCTCCTAGTTTTGGGGGAGGGAGGGTCCCCCACACCACTCAGTGTGGTGTAGGAGAGCCAGTGTGGTGTAGTGGTTAAGAGCGGTAGACTCGTAATCTGGTGAACCGGGTTCGCTTTCGCGCTCCTCCACATGCGGCTGCCGGGTGATAAAGCGGGATATCAAATCCAAACTCCTCCTCCTCCTCTTCTTCTCCTTCATCTTCTTCCTTCTCCAAAGCCAGCCCTCCATCTCTCTTGCTCGGTGGTTAAACCTGCCTCGAAAAGGAGGGGCAGGGGCTCCCCACCCCTCCTCAGGCTCCTTTGCACCCTTGGCAAGGGGCTGTATTAGCATGGAGAGGCACCATTTTTGTGTTCCCCTGGGCCTGCCCCTTGGTGGGGGTTTTATAAACAAATATCTGCCCTCCCCCCCCCTTATGGGGTACCCAAGAGCCCTTATAGAGTCCTTTGTAGGTTCTCCATCAGTAGGAGAAAATAACAGAGGCCAACCAGAGAATATTGAGAAGCAAAGCAGCTAGTAAGCCTGATCTTTATTGAACTGTTGCAGCAGGAAAGGAGGAGGACCCAGAACCCAGGTGTGCCCGCCCTTCTATAGACATTTTAAATTCCCTGCCCTGGAGCTCAAGACCACCCCTCCATATATCATACATACATCACAGATGGGGTGTAGCCCAAGACCAACCCCCAGATACATCATACCTACATCACAGAAAAGGCGGTCTACAGCAGAAATCTGAGTGCGTTGTTTATCTCATCTGACAGGTGACCTGTTAATGCTCACTTGATTGGATACCCTGGGAAGCCTGGCCAGTCTTTTGTAATGATAAATACTTAGTTCCTGGGCCAGGTCACAGGCTCACACCCTATTCATATCTTGAATGTGCCCTTAAGGCAGGATTTGTGAAGGAAAAGACAATGGGGAGGCTTTTCCATTTTCCTCTGACCTTGCAGAGAAAACATTTGGTCAGTTTGGGAATCAAAAATGGTTTCAGGTCGGTCTTCCTGTGCTGATCTGTGTACGTGTTTGGTTGGTACATTTATTATATATCTAAAAGCTTAAAATTCTTATTACAGGGGCCAGCCTGGCTGACCGCTAGGTACGCCTCTGTCTCCTCCCAACCAGCTCCTGACTCTGAACTCTTGGATCAAATCAGTGGCC